TGGCATAATAAAATATGAAAGTTGTACATTAAATACATTGTTTGAACATTTTCTTTGAGTTGTCCTTCACATATTCTATTATTCCTCTAATTATGCTCTTATTTTGATTGCCCTCTGACTTTTTGCTGTACTCTTTATTTCAATCTTCTACTGCAAAGCATTTCACTTCCTATTAGTGCTACATATTACTTATATCTGTCAGCATACGTAGCATACACTACAAGACAATTGTGATAGGATTTTTAATGAGCATAACTAAAACTACCAAATTATCCAACTAATAAGTGTATTTCAGGCATTACGTATGTATTGTGATATTTCACCTACATATTATGTAAGAATATATCATTGAGTGGTCGAACACATAAGACTGCATACTTGGTGTGGTATACACAATTATTTAAATGACTAGAAATGGATTAATTTCAAGACTTTGTCTCCAACGTTAAGTAAATTGAAGTATTCAGCGGGAAACATTGGACCGAGGATTCGTGGTTGGCGGCACTTGTTATCATAGTATAACCGAAATCTCGAGAAGACTGCTGCTCCATCAAGCTTTACACTTTGAGACATTGTGACTTGGTTGATAGAATCCGGCCAACACTAGGACACTGGGTAAATATCATACTGGTCACTAATCAGTGATCAATCAGTGTAAATATCTTACTCCGATAGGTCAGTTGTGGCCAGATTAGCTTATTAGTAACCTTATAGACTGTAGGACTAGATGACAAGGGTTTGAATCTCACACTATTAAATTACTAATATCTCCACAAAACCCACTTCTGATAATAATAATCATCAGGTGCTCACTAGTTACTGGCTTCAAGAGGTATTTCCTGGAGCTCTAATAAGAATTCGTGATCAATGGAGTTCAACCAGGTCTATTATGAGATAGTAACTCACTGCAGATAATAGTGGTTGAAGTAAGATATTAACACCGTTAGATGCCGGTTCGGTGGTTTAGTGTTTAAGCGTTCGCGCGCGAGATCGACAAGTCCTACATTCGAACACCACATGGAGAAATCATGAAGGCGCACCGCTAAGGAGTCCCATACTAGGATGAAACAACCGACCAGTTCTTCTAGGTTTTCCATGGCGGTCTAGCTTCAATTAACTCATGAATTCAACTATTAAAACGTTTTACAACATACATTTATAAATTGTTATTTCATAATGAAATACACTTTCAGAATTAAAAATAAAACAATAAATACCTAAATGATAACTGTATTTAAAACAGAAGCTATACAACTCACCTGGTTGTTTAAATTCATTCGGAACAATACAACGAATAAATGAAGGACTGGTACTTTGTAAATTTTTCATTAGTTTATTCAGTGATTCCTAAATTTACACATAATTATTACAATGTTAAAATGAGGTGAAATAAAATATTGGACAAATAAAAATAAGATAATTAATTTAAAGAGGGCAAAAAAAAGAAAGAAAACCAAAAAAGAAATGAATATACGCATTACTATAAGGAAATAACAAACTGCAAACCAAGTACCAATGATATCATGCTTATTTTATACTATTTCTGAGTACAATTAACTAATACAAACACATGCATTAAGGAAAGATAAAGAAATACATGCTGATGAAATTTTTTTGTTCAATCAATGTAGTGCTAGACGATTATTACTATTGATTATTTATATACTACTGAAATATGTTTGTAAGTAGTATAAATATGTTTAACAAAATTAAATTGAAATAGTTAAAGAAATATAAGAATTGTAGCTAGTTAATAAAAATAATTAACAAGGATAGAGAAATATAATGACTAAGAAATCCAAATTCAGTGGCTCAAGTGTAGTGTGATAGTCGCAAGATGATAGAAAGGTTCCAAGTTTGATTAGGTTATGAATGAACATAGCTTAAAATTTTCGTAATTAAAACAATATAGCTGTTCAATGTAATGATGATTTTGGTATACGTACATCCTGAACGGATTACCTTGATGCTACCTTAAGTCATAAGCATTATAAGCAATGATGGATGTTGACTAACAATGATAACATCGAAGTGATCCGTACAGGATGCATATATGTCGAAAAGAGACTGATCAATTACAGTGTTAAACACAAAATCAACCATAAAAATGAATTAGACTTCACTCCATTGCACAAGTCAGTGGCTAGCGGGACTCAGTAGCTAATTGACTAGATAGTGTGAAGGTATCTGAAGTGAATATTGCTGTGTTTGATTCGCAGAATAAATGACAAATGTGAGATGCAAGTACATTCATCTGACAAGTCCTAAGTAGTACGAAAAATGCATTCTAGATTTCATTTCCAGCCGTTATCCATCCCAACTTAAATCATTGTTTTGCGTTTACGATATTAAACAATTATCTTTAATTTTCATTGATAAGTAACTGCCTAACATTCAATATGGTTGAACTACATTAGTCATTACCTCTTACTAGAACTTTGGGAATCGTCTGTTGAAAAAATGAACTATAAGACAACATAAACATAAATACTATAGAGGATTTTCAAAGGTTTTTGAATTTTCATAGTTTTCACAACGGATTGATTTTAACTAAACAATCATTGAAAAACTAGATATCTTTTTCGTTCTAGTGTGAGACTTATTATCATTGTGTATTCGCAACTTCATCCGGAGTTTGAACTCATAATTCTCAGATCTTACGAAAAACTTTTGATCTTCAGGCCATGAAGAAGACATCCAGTGATTGACACTTTTAACTTGTATAACCGTTTTTTCGATTTTATTTGAAGATAACTGCCTAATACTCAACATATTAAAATATACCTCACAATAATCTGTCAGAAAATCCAATTCTAGTTTACTTTATACAACTCATTTGAAAAAAGACACAGTATTAAGATGAATCTATAGAGTAAATTGTAAATATATTCACAAATTCTACTGTACTCAAATGATCTACCGAGTGAAAATATTGATTTTTCGCCAAAAGATACACTACCACTACAACTACTAGTACTACAGGTATTGTTACTACCACTACTATCATAACAAGCTAACATATATACATATATATATATATACGCACACACGCATACAAACACATACAAATACAAATATTGTATTGTGTATCCAATACATTATGAATGCAATGCATTTGTCATCTGTTATTTTTCTACATATTTTCTATGAGGTAATACAATATAATTTATATGTGTTACGTGCGGGATTAAGATATATGGATTGCAAAAAAATTAGCGATTAGAAGATTAGTCTACAACAAATTGTTGAAAGGTACAATCAAGTCAACTAAAACTATAGGCTAAATATTTTCACTAAAGAATCTACAATATCAACAGCAACAACAACAACAAACAAACAAACAAAAAAACATTAGTACTCTGTGAACAGCAGAAATTGTCTGCATAGCACCGCCTTTTTTACGTTTTCCACCTTCGTCTATTAGAAGATGTAGTATAGAATAAATTAAGCAAATTATATGCAAGACAAAATAAACAAACAATCAATAACACATGGGTTAAAGTAATAATGATAATAATCGTCATAATATTCATAACGACGATCAAATTAAGTTTCACAGTTCCAGTTTGATAAAGTAATGTAGTTTATCTAAACAATCAGAAGGGGTTTTGTGGAAATTGTAATAATTTCAACAGTTGAGGTCATGAGTCAATTGAAGCTATACTACCATGGAAAACCTGGAAGCACTGGATGGCCGTTTCGTCCTATTGTGAGACTCCTCGACAGTGCGCATCCACGACCCCGCTTAGTTGATGTTAGACATTAACACCGTTGGATGAGGGCTCAGTGGTCTAGTGATTAAGCGCCTGGCGCGAGACTGATAGGTCTTGTGTTCGAATGTTGAGAGGCGTAATCGTGGATGCGCACTGCTGAGGAGTCCCACAATAGGACGAAACGACCGTCCAGTTCTTCCAGGTTTTACATGGTGGTGTAGCTTAAATTGACCCATGATCTCGACTGTTGGAATTATCTAAACAATATTAAATACCTTTCATATTGATTTCTTACGTAATTTCGTTGAAAATACTTTTTATTTTCAATACTTGATGCTGAACGGAAACAAGCAAATCATATGATTAATTGGGGTCGAAGATGTAAGTGAATGAAAACAATCGACTGGGTTTTTTTTTCAAAATAAGAAAGGAAAAGAATATTCAAGATATAACATTATGTTATAATAATTGACCTTGTGTTATCATTGATTTAATTTATGATTCACTGTGTGTTTACAATAAGCATGCTTAAGCATTTAAAGCCAAAATAAATTGTAAATAATAATAATGCAGTGAATTTATATCGTTTGAATAGACAGTGAGATTATAATTTATGGACGATCTTTGAGTGATTCTAAAGTCATATAGAGAATATCTATTTACTTTCTAGGGTTAAATAAAAGTTATAAACTAGTGTGAGGAATTAGAATAATGAATTACAATTCATGGTTAGGCTAAGGCATTAGATCTAAAGTTTTTATCGCATATTGACATTAACTAAACTGACTAAAACACACAATTGATTAATCACTAGGTGGTGATTAAGCAGATTAAATCCTATCGACACAATGTAGAGTTACCTAGATTAGTCCTAAAGGGAGTCAGTCGCCGCCCAAATATCCCAGTGGTAACGTCTCTGACTATGAAGCTGGATGACATGGAGTCGAATCCGTCAGAGATCTTCAGTTCCTTCAATATTACAGGTACACCTTACTGACGAGTGCCAAATAGTACAATACCCGAATCTACAGTTTCCTATTGACTACCACAAACCACCATCTTGATTAAAATACTATTTAACTAAATGGATAAATGAATCAAAGATTTATTACTCTAAATCTAATTGGATCGTCCATAAAATATAGTCTCATTGAATATACCATAGTCTTTGTATTCATTCTATTAAATCTTATTAAAGTTTTATTTACTACAAACAACATAACACATATATATGATATATATGAAAATAAAAATGAAGCAAATTGTATTATAGTTTCTTTTTTTTTTCTCTCTCGAAAATGCATACTATAGCAACATATGCAAGGATAATTCACCTAGATTTTTAATGATATCACTAATCGATATTATATTGATTTGTGTTTTTTTTGTGTTTTTAAAGCATCAGCAAGCAGATAATAAATTAGTCAACAAAATGTCATAGCAACATAACAGCAGTCCAATAAGATGAGATAGATCAGCATACGAATTAAATTATTAGCTTATATGTTTGGTTGTTGTTATTGTTGTTGTTGTTGTTGTAATAATAATAATTACCCTGTGCATGTAGGTCACTGTCAAGAAAGAGCCACCTTTCGTCTTTTTACCAGGTTCACCTATATACATACATACATACATATGTATTTTTTACAAATATAAAATAAGAACTTTCCTCATTTTAAAAGATTAAATAAAATGAATTAAAATCAGTTGCTCAATAGATACTAACATTCTAAGTTTGAATCCTAATGTGAACATTATCATAGCCCATACATAAATCATGTGATTTGTGTGATACATATGTAATTGGTGCCCCCTTTTGTACCAATATTTATATATGCGCAAATAAATGAAATAGGTGAACATCAGCACTAAGATGTAGATAGTTCCAACTGATGAGGTTTAAATAGGACGAAATATATTGCCTAGATTTTACTGACAGTCTCATACTATTTTATTTTTGATTATTTTTTGATGAGAAACAGTATGTTAGTCATCTAATTAGTTGTTCATAATTTGATATCTAAATACAGCTTCAATAATATTCACGGTACCATAACTTAATCCCTAATGAATAATTACGTAATAGCTTTATTCTATTTTTTAACTTTGTAATCGATTTCATACCTTAGTAAATGAAAACAATTTCTGTGAATATCAGTTATTCAAGTGCTGTATGAACCTTCATCTACCTAAGTGTGACTTCTCGTGGCGGGGGATGTTGTTTACGAAATTGGGAGGACGAAAAGCGAATGTCCGGAGCTTTAACTGGATTCCAAACCAGTGGTGCATATGGGCTCCAGTATCCTGAGGGAACAAATAGCGTATGAATCAATTGTTGGTCACCGGCTACCATGGAACGGCATCTCCTCGCGATGCTCCACTGCCTTGTGGGTCAGACCTTAAGGTCAAAGGCTCCGGGTATGGCCCCCAAAGAAAACCACCTGGTTCGGTCTGGGCACACAGTCAGTATCACAGCGCTCACACATATCGAATGAGATTTGTGTGGCGCATATGTATTTGGTGCCTCCTTGTACCAATATCTATGTGTTTAAATAAAAATAATAATAATAATAAGTAAAAGTGCTTAGGACATATGTTACTAATATCTAGCCATTTTTTAATTCTGACTAGACATGTTGGATAGTAAAGAAAGAATCAAGTTGGAAAATGTTATTAATGTCTAAATCAAGTGATGATATCTGTCCAAAATGCTAGTGACTATCAAATCATACTATTCCAATATCATCCCCCATCTGATGATATACATTCAAACTATACACGGTAATATTTAATTCTTATTTTAATATCACTAAAACTTTTAAGTTGAGTAATTATGAAATGAGAAATTTATTCTTGTTACTTTGATGGTATACAATCAATATATGAACTATGGTTAAAAACAAAAACAAACTTCATCCTAACGAAATAATACTCATTAGAAAACGCCTTAGTAACTATAGAGTACTTTTCAAATTCAAATTTTTCCAATGAATCTTCCCGGTTCGATATGTGAAACAATTATTGAGTTTTTTTTTCCGGAAAATAGCGTTCATTATAATTGAGAACCATAATGTAATATTGAACATTTTAAAAATTTAAATCAATCAATCTCCTGGTACTATTGGAAGAAGATATCTATCTGAACATCAGGGTCATATTTAGTAGTTAAGGCCTGATTTCTGACAAAAGGTTTTCTTCAATAATTAGCCATTTATATCTCTTTTAAAATACTACTTACAAGATACTAATTTTAGTAGCTATTACTATCAACTACTGTTATTCTAATAAGGTATTTGTTAACAAGTCAAAATGTAAATAAACAAATCGAGAATGTAATAGCAGTTACATAACTACATTACAGATAACCTCATCTTATAATAAAAACTAGAGAAAATAGTAATGATTCAATTGTAATTGCTACAAGAGATTGAACTGCATAATGGTGCACATGGGCTCCAGTATCATGAAGGAACAAATGGCGTACGAACCAATCGTTGGTCACTGGCTACCATGAGACTGTATCTCCTTATGATGCTCCACTGCCTTATGGATCAGACCTTCAGGTCAAAGGCTCCGGGTATGGCCCTCTAAGAAAACCACCTGGTTCGGTCTGGGCACCCAGTCAGTATCACAGCCCTCACACATATCGAGTGAGATTTGTGTGGCGCATATGTATCTGATGCCCTCTTGTATCAATAACTATGTGTTCAAATAAACAAATAAAAATAAATAATCATTGAAAATTAGAAATTATGAAACTCGAGAGATCTTGATTTCAATCTTTAGTGGTATCATTAATGAGTTTCAACATTGAAATAGTTAATTTGTGTCGCCAGATTATTTTTTTTTTTAAAATAATTGTCTAAATTAGATCAGTTTTTGTGATGTAAACTATTAAACTCTTTAATCGTTCTAATGTCATTTTATTTATTCATCATTCAATTTGTAATAGTAAATAAATACTTACCGACAACTGGAGTAAATAGATTGGATACTAAAGGATCTTTACTACCACCTAATAATGCAACTACACTGTCATTAAGTGGATCTTTATTCTTTTCTAACCATCCAGTTATTGTGTATGGAACCTAGAAAAATGATAGATTATAAGAAAAGAAAAGAGTGAATACATTGCTTTTTGAAATTGAGTAGTTACATAAAGGTAGTATATAAAAAGCAGGGTTTATAAAAGTCTTCTTATCTTCCACAAAATCACTGCAAAGTAAAAAGATACCTGAAATGCCCTATTTATTATTCAGTGAAATCATGAACGGCTGTTTTACGCTTATATGAGCCTTGTCGATAGTGCTCATTCACAAGACACGCATATGATAATCGAATAAAGGAAATTCGGTTTAACGCGTGAACTTTACATGATATTCATGAAACCCAACAATCTCCACAGCCATATACTGAGAACTGTATTATTCACATGAAATAATGTTGCAAATTTCATTGGACACAATTAATTGAATGCATATAGAAATACAGTTTTTATTTTAACAAGACAAAACTACATGGATATATGTATACTTACAGATCCAGCATAATGGTGCAATTCGAAGTGAGCTTCTACATGTCCTGGCTTCGGCGGCTTCGGTTTGGTGAAATTAGGGCTTTTACCTAAATGATTATCATATAATTTCGACAAGAATGTTTGATCCGAAGCTTTGGGAACGATGCATTCTTCTTCTAGAATGGACAAGATACCCATAGGCTAGAAAAAATGAAAAGAAAAGAAAACAAGTAATGTTTGCAAACATTGTTAAACTGAAATATAATGAATTTCCATTAAATTCTTTATGTTAATAATTTGCCCATATGTTAACTAGTGATTAATTTTAAGAGCTAATTAACTGGGTTCTGATAAGATGTTACAGACAGTGGAGTTAAACCACATCAGATTTGAGGTAATCAGATATCAATAACATTAGAAGACAGTTGTGCAACAACCTGAGTTGGTTGAACCTAGACTTGTAAACGATTGGATCTTAGGTCAGTAGCCTAGGAAATAAACGCTAGAAGCAAGAATCGGGAGACATTAATTCAACAGAACAGCTATTCAGCCGACACTATTTTCCAATGGTTATCTAAATATGATCAGTCTGTGATGAATGGATAAAGTAAAAATCGTCAAATCAGTCAATTCATCCTTTTTCTTAAAGTTAAAAAAACTGACTCGTAAAACGAATAGTTTACACAGAGTCAGTAGCTATTTATTATACCAAAATTCATAGAATTGATATGACTACTGACTAACGATTTATCCTAATACTTGGAGCAAATCGTTTCTGAAATGTATCCAGAAATATGATCAGCAATGTATCAAAACAAAAATATAAACACGGAGAAAAATCTAAGCTATTATCTGTCCATTCATTTGTAAGCTGTTCAAAGGCTATCAAATGGCAAGCCCTGGACATTCATTTTGTACTATCTGAAACTCATCAATTATTGTTGAAGAAATTATGCTTCCTTTCAGATTGGGATCTTCAGCATTCTGTTTGGACTGGTTAGAAAATCTACAGCGCTCGATGATTTATTCTAGAGGCTACACTAAAAATTATACAGATAGAACTTAATCATTCTCAGATAGTTGGTGAACTTCTTTCGAATTAATTTCACAGCTACTTCTTTTTAATGTTTAGCTATAAACTACTTAATGACAATAAGTAGTCTGGTTGTATTAGAGTGTTTCTAACTTTTGCATATTGTTGCGCATTAATACCTCTTGATGAATTACGCGAACACGATATAAACTTTATCCTCCTATTTGCATGTTTAGCTTCATTCATAATGTTATGAAGTCTTTTTTCCCTTCTTTCCTCGTTCAGTTTTACCTGTATAAACCAAACTTTTAAGCCTTGCTTACATGGAATAATTTGTCTATTGCCATTAATTGACAACGTTTCAGTTCAACAATAGACAAGTACTGGTTTCTGGTTTTTAAAAAAATGATCCATTGTACTCTTTCCAATTGTTCGAAGAATACATTTCTCTCATCTACGCTTTAAAAGTTGTAGTTTATGCCCTGAAATCTCATGATATGTGTTTTACCTGAATTATTAGTATTTATTTTGGTTTCTATGACGGTACTGCACTTTGAACAAACCCTTCTAGTTTTATTTTACGATTTCTGCGTGTGAATAACTTCCAGCATGAGAATACTCATAGTTTGAAAAAATTGATAATTTACCTTTTCAATTAAATCTATACAAGCTTGCAAATCCATACCGAAATCAATAAATGTCCATTGAATCTTTTCACGTTTATATTCTTCCTGTTCTAAGACAAACATATGATGGTTGAAGAATTGTTGTAGACGTTCATTTGTGTAATTAATACAGATTTGTTCAAAACCATTTTCCTTGGATAATGAAAAAAGGTCAATACGAAGATGAAAAGAATTTATCAAGTCATGAAGTCACAAAAATGAACTAACAATGAATATAATATCAACCATAATTAGTAGTTAGAGGTAGTTAGTATGGATATCATGGATCTGCATTTCGTACTAGTTGGGACTCTTCAACAAGATATATTGGCAATGTTGAAGAGTTATTGCCTTCTGTCGGTTTCAAACCATAGTCACTTAGTTTCATAATCCCAAACTTCATGACTGTTCTATTCCAGATAGAACTGCTCTCCTACATGGCTAGGAAACTCACAACTGAGCGATCACTGAATAGTGACCAATATCATGTTTGCCTATTCCTTTAGCACTACAACTAAATGACCAGATAAATGTGACATTGGTTTTTACTCAGAGTACATTCAGTGTTAAATCTGAAATAATATCAATCAAGTAAGAGATAAATAATCAAGAGTTTGGGTAATATATATGATTAGAACAAAGTTCTTGGATTCATAAAGTTGGTTATCATCTGCAATACAAAAGATTAAAAATGTTATAACTCCACATCAAATAAGAAATATGGATTTGAAGAAAGCTTGTTATTACGATCATAAACACCTCATAGATTCCATTAGTAAGTATGTCACTGTAATTTGTGGAACCAATAATTGTTCGACGTTTTGAAGGTTTTGTATTCTTGATAATTGGACACAAACGAACCCGTTAAGGTCAGTGAATAAAAAATCTCCATCAAAATATCAAGGCTATAAATACTCTCCTTCATCTCAGTTGTTGAACTGTTTGCAAATGACAAGGCTCGAATTGCTTCTATAATACTCATCAATAAATTAACATTGTTATTGTTATTAATTGTGAAAATTCAATGAACCTGTAAATCAATTGAGTCACCTTCCTTACTGTTATGTCCCGATAAGCATAATGAATGGTAACTTTTGGGATCCATTTATGGACCAATACTATACGTATATTTTTATAGTATAATTGTTAAATAACTAAACTATACTTATTTGTGTCCCTCTTATCACGAGCTTTATTTTAACCTATGGACTATTATTATATGTTTTACCATTCTTGAGTTATGCCATGTCTATTCATTACTACCTCCCACATTCACAGTTACATTTGGCTAAATCTTGTACAAATGTTGTTTCCTATTTTATTGGTACGTTGTGGTCTGTCTGGTTGGTATATAAACCCAGTATGTTTGAAATAAATGATTCATATTGCAGAGGCTGAGATTGGTGTTCTGGACTTAACTGTCTGGGCTAGGCAGGAAGTGGGACTAATAAGAACTCTAGACTGCTTGTATGGATTTTATGCCTCATTGGACTGGTCGATAAATTATCGTTCTCTAAATGGCGGTATTATCACATTATACATTAGCAGGGCACACAGACTACAAGTTATATTACTTACAAACAGTAATAATAATGATAATAATAATAAAACTTACAGTGAAAATCTCAAAACCTGCAATATCCAGTACACCAATGAAAAATTGACGTTTAACTTTTGTATCCAAAGTTTTATTGACACGAGCTACTAACCAACCAAACATACGATTATACAAAGATTTAGCTAAAGCGCTGACTGCATAAGTAACCTTTTGTTGAAATAAATTGAAAATTTATTATCATTATTATTATTATTATTATTAAAAGACAATATGATAATGTTATAATTATTATGGATAAAACTGTAAAAGAGTAGTCCAATGAGAAGTCTCATAGTTGGATGAAACAGTTCCCCAAACCCATTATTCTAATAGGAATTATTTTTTGGCAACTATATAGTCGATTGTAAACTAAGATTTATCCAATTAATTAGGTGTAACCATTTATAAACATTTTATGCATCTAAACTAACTAGTCACTAAGTAATGCCCAATGTCATGTTTGTTTAGTTCTTAGTGGCAATATAATTTGATTGATCAAGTTGTAGTTTGATCTCAAGTCTGAGAAACTAGACATTGTATTTACTATGTTTTAACGTTAACTAGTTACAGGGTTTCATGTCAACAATCTCTAATCAACTAATATTATATAACTGGTTTTACTTTTTAATCTCCCCTTGTAGAGTCCTAATTTACAGCAAATCTTTACCTCAGTGGTCCATGCACTCTTAACGTTTCTCGTCAAAGTGAGTAAATTTCTTTAAACCATTTAATTAAATATTATTGGTGTCCCCATTAGTAGCTAGGTTCTAAATGAAGAAGTGTTAAACTACAAAATCTATGAAATCTCAGGTACGATGATGATTCATTAGCAATATGGGCTGCTATTCACGTTTTAAAGCGAAATCCATGAAATACTTTCAATAGTATCACTTTTGGCGAAACCTATCATCAGATAGACATGAAAAAGCGACTGACGTTATCCACAACGTTTTCGATGTTTGCTTAACGTTTGGTAAGCAGTAATTTCTGTCATTTTACTGTTCATTTAGGGTGTTTAACTGTATATTAGTGTAGTTTTTATTAATAGTTTTATTTTAAGCCCCAAAGCTTACATACAGAATGCTATACACGTTCAAGAAGAACTTTGCAAATAACTTCATCCTCTTGGAATCAAACCGGTGTTAAAACCTCACTCTAATGTGTACCATTCATCCAATAAAGAAACGGGAGAATGAATGAAAGCATTAGGAACACCACAATTATTGAATATTGAAAATGCTTTAGAGAGCCGCAGCCATACAAACATTTAATAATTTTAGGAGTTTACTGAAGGAATAAACTACCAACTAACTGGATAATTCCACACAATATGAGACACTTATTACCAATTCAAATCAGAGTACGATTTAGGTACTATTTAGAGGTTGAAAATTAATATCGATATATGATTTGAGACATATTAAGCGTGACTCAATAATATATAACCACAGCTAAGTAATTAACTTTGCCTAGAGCCCCTGTGGTGCTACAGCCGGTCCCAAGCAAGGATAAAGAAGAATTGTGTATGGTGTTAGCGACCAAATCCCATAGAAAACTAACTCGCTAAAAAGTGCTAACCAGAAAAAAATAATTCAAACCGTCAATTAATTGGAATTATGAATTTCTTTTCACGAAAAAAATGTGAATGTAAATATTCATTTATGAACATCAACTCTGAGATACAGGTACATCAGGCTGATGAGTCCCATATGAGACGAAACGTGAGTCCTCCATCTCACTACTAGCTACCATCCATTTTTGCTGATAATGCTTGTGAATTAAAGCTATATTAAAGCGATCCGCACAGGATGCCCATATGCCAATAAGAGATTGATCCATTCAAGCAAATGAATTGTTAATTAGTTATTATAATTTCATTATGGATTACTGTTCATCAATAAAAATTTACTAACTTGATTTAAATTTTGACCTTTAGTTACAAATTCTGTACCAACTTTGACTTTTGGTTTTAAAAATGAAGTTAATAGATCTTTTGCATTAACACCTAAAAGAAATGCAACTTTTTCTGCTTCAGCAGTTCCATCAGCTTCAGCTTGTTCTTCTCTTGGTCTTTGTTTAAATTTCATTTCACCCATATTACAAATTGATGTAGTACATTTGAATAATGATAATTTTTCATCATCATTAAATCCAAGAACGTCAAAAGCTTCCTAAGAACAAAAAAGACAATGGTAAGTAGTAATTGAAGGATGTGATAAAACAAAAGTTATTTCATGGAGTTCTAGTGAGAAATAATGACCATTGGAATTCAACCGGGTCAGTTGTCAGATAGTAACTCACTGATGACAATGTCGCATGGGTCGCTTGATTTCGTGGATTGCTTAAAGTTAGACATTAACACCGTTAGATGCCGGCTGAGTGGTCTAGTGATTGAGCGCTCGCGCGTGAAACTGATAAGTCCTAGGTTCAAATCTCGAGAGGCGGGATCGTGGATTCGCACTGCTGAGGAGTCCCATACTAGAACGAAACGGCTGTCCAGTGTTTCCAGGTTTACAATGGTGTTTTAGCTTACATCGATTCATGAATTCAACAATTAAATTACTATGATATCCACAAAACCCCTCTCTGATTAAAAAAGGAATATATGTATTTTTCAAATAATAAAAATAAATTTTAGTCAGAATGATACGCTGGACGAGTTTGGACACACCATGTGTTTGTACTACTCTATTAAATTAATTCGGTTTCCCAATTACAACTTTCTAGTCATTTTTTAATCTTCTCATTTGTATAACAGGTTGAGCAAGCTCATAAGAAACATATGTATATAAAGCTGAATTAGACAACCATGGAAAGTAATTAACGATGGGCTATCAACTCATTTATGCCAATATTTACAGAATATTCTTTATTCATCTTACAGAAGCCTAATTGAAGTTGACTGAAATGACAAGGGAGAAACATTCTATGTAATCCATTTCACTATCCTAATTTAATTTCATGAAATCACCAATCGAACTGTTAACTAACTGTATAGTTGACTTCTACATTGATCATCAGTCAGGCTGTACATTTGTCTATTGATTTAGGAGGTATGAATATATATCCCCAAGTGAATTTTTTTCACAACATTATAAAGCTTAGTAGGGTGTGGATAATCCTCTGGAAACTGAACACATTAGAATACATGAAACATTCGAAATCTATTCTTTCCTAATAGTCCCAAAGGTTGTTTTTTCACTTTGAATATTAATCTAAAAAACGTTTTGTTAAATTATACTTGAATATCGAACATGATCATCTTAGAATGACTTGGAGGCTTTATACCATTGATTAGCTAATGAACAGATTAGAACTCATAATCTGTCATAGGACGAAACTTTTTTCGATTTTTCAAGGTATTTGTTTCTAGAGATTACTCACTTCGTGATAGATAATTGTAAGTATTTCTTGGATTTCATATCAAAACTTACAGATTGCTATTACAAACCTGAGTAATTAGGTAGGATAGCATAGTTTGAATGTACCGTATTCTCTGTTACATAAAATTTGTGTTAACGAAACGAGAAAAAGAACAGCATAGTTATTTATACGGAATTCGGAAACGAATTATAGAACAATATATTGTTACACCATGGTTTTTAAATCAAATCAATTTATGTCATTGAAATCTTTAGTTTATTAAACAATCATCTTGATATAAACTCCGCCTGCAGACCATCTAGGATTATTCCTGATCTCAAGCCTGGATAAAGGAGGAGGGTTAGGATTGGGGTTAACAGCCCCATCCCATAGAAAATAGTTCTGTTAAGAAAGGGCCAACCAGAAAATATCATTTTCACCATTTAAACTCTAACCTAAGAGTAAATAAGTAACTTCATAAACAAACAATTACTATTCAGTTAAACTTACATCGCACAATTTCATTTCTTCACTATCATCTACACCATCAATAGTTAACTCTCCTTGATTAATGAAACTGTATAAAGCAGGATCAGTTTGAACTAATAATTTGTCTGAAAAGCAAATATAAAAATGATCATAATTAACCATTAGATATCAACTCAGTGGTCTCAAAGTTAAACCTTATCTGTAATATCTTAAGTTCCTAAACTCTATCCTATGTGATGGAATCATGGATGGACATCTATGAAAGCTTCCATACGAGAACAAAACACCTGTCCAATGCTTCCTAATTTCCTATGATTAACTAACTAAGTTCATGTTACAAATCATTCAATAAATTAACTATTATTCCTTAAAATGTTCAATAATAAAAATAGTAAACCTCACAGACATATTCCAAAGGAGAAAGAAGAACTTACCGTGATATTTTGAACCATAAGTTGATAATAATTGATAGAAAATATGATAATTACGTTCTCCTTTCATTTGTGAAACTACACGAGATTTCTCAAGCAAATCTTTTAGAAAAAAGAAAAAAAAATTGATTAGTTATACAATTATTTTTTCTAATATCACAAGAGGTTTTTCTGGATATTATAGTAATTTCAATAATTGAGATCATGAGTCAATTGAACTTAGGCCATCATGGAAATCCTGGAAGAACTGGACGCTCATTTCGTCCTATTGTTATGCTTTTTCTGATATTAATTAACATATGCTCCCTAGTGACTGACTTCAAGATGTATATCCTGGAGTTCCAGTGAGAAGTAGTGACCAGTGGAATTCAACCGGGTCAGTTTTCAGATAGTAACTCACTGATGACAGTGGTGGATGTGTCGCTCAATTTCGTGGATTAGTTGAATTTAAACATTAACACCGTTAGATACCGGCTTAGTGGTCTAGTGATTGAGTGCTCGTGCGCGAGACTGGCAGTTTCTGGGTTCGAATCTCGAGAGGCGGGATCGTGGATGCACACTGCTGAGAAGTCCCATACCAGGACAAAACGACTGTCCAGTGCTTCCAGGTTTTTCACGGTGGTCTAGCTTCAATTGGCTCATGATCTCACTTATTGAAATCATATTTTTTGTTTTTGTTGTTAAATTCCCAACTTACAATGTTCAATATCAGCTCCAGCGATTTTACCAGTTGTACCAAAGTGAATACGAATGAATTTTCCCTAATTTGAAAAGAAAGGAAAAAGAAAATAATATTTATCCTTATCTAGAAAATATATAATAACTTACAAATCTAGATGAATTATTATTTCTTGTAGTCTTTGCATTACCATATGCTTCTAGAACTGGATTAGCTTGAACAATTTGATCTTCAAGTGTTCCCTAATTAAAAAAGAAAGTAAAGAAGATTTCAATTTGATTTGAATAAAGAATAAAATATTGTTAAATAATAAATAGATATTCACAGTAAAATAAGCTATCCATCACCTTACTTGACTTTCAAATGATTTCTTGAATTAATGTAAGAAGTTATTGATGACTTAAATTTCATCAAGAACTGATCTTAGTTAGGTAACGATTTAAAACTAGAAAATACTGGATAGCTATTTTGTCTTAGTTGGGAAACTTCTTACTACTGTTTATTCACGACTCTACTATAGCGGGCCGAACCCAAGATATTCAGATCTCATAGCTAACACTTAACCATTAAGCCATTAAGTTATTAACTAGTGCTTTACATTTTCAACTTCAAAGAAGAAATATCTATTCAGTACTTCCGTAATATTATCAGTAATTATTTAACTAAGGTTTGTCAGTAATATAAATTATAGAATTTTCTAAATACTTGGAAGAGACAGTTACTAACTTATCATTTCCTTGGTAAATTCATAATTTTGATCAAAATTGTTATTTCTTCTTCTTATTATTATTATTACTATTACCATTATTACTGTGAACATCTATTATGCTATTTTCGCTCAGCTAATCGTTAGTTTATTGGGTTTAAAATTCTTTTTGTTCATCTCATTAAATATTATGAATAAACGAATTATTTAATGTATGGATTCAATTCAGTAGTCAAGAGGTTAAGCGTTCGTGTGCGAGACCGAAGGTCCTGGGTTCGAGTTCCACGTGTGGAATCGTGAATGAGCATTGCTAAGGAGTCTCATACTAAAACGAAACGGCTGTCTAGTGCTTCCAGGTTTTCTGTGATGGTCTAACTTTAATTGACTCATGAATTCAACTATTAAATTACTACAATATACACAAACCCCCCTTTCTGATGATTAATAAATAACTAGTGACAATGTAAGCTGACCTTACAATAAATAAATAAAATTTATATAACGCTCATAATACGCCTATCTGGTTAGTAAATTTGTTTGAAAAAATCCTAATCTCACTAATCAGATTCATAAACTTCAAGGTAGATTGTAACTATATAAACATATGAACTTTATTTGAATATTCGATTATATTGTCAATATTTCTAGTTGTTCTTGATTCAAGCTTCTTGGAGTGATCTAAATCTAAAACCGGTGAGAGTATAATCTGTGAACGACCTTTGAGCGGCGCTAAAGTGGCTTTGAGAATGTCTACCTACTGATTGGGGCTAAATGAGGGTTTTAAACCTGTGTAAACGATAAGGATTTTGATTTACATTTGATGGTTAGGGATAGGGATTAGATTTAATGGTTTCATCATAAACTGACATTAACTAAAGTGCCAAAACTCTATTTAGCGAAAATAGATGAGTGAATTTCGCGCCAAAATCTAAGATCTGTTATCGTAAATCTGATTGGTTCGTTCATAAATTATAGTCTCGCCCATAATGATGTAATGATCACAAAGATGTTTAATGTTGCTATTTCACAGCTCAATAGATACTGATGATATTGTTCAGAATGATAATGACAAACTGTCATAAATTAACTCATCTATCTCAAACAGTATTGCAATAATAGAAATATAGTTCTATGTATTTAAGAAATACTAAGTATTTTCATATAATAAGATGATGAAATAATATTTGTTTATTGTTATTCATCATCAAATACAAACCTTTTTACTAGCATCATCATCCTCTTTCTTTGAAGCTGCTGCAACAACAGCAAAATATGAAATAACTTTCTTTGTATTTTCTGTTTTTCCGGCACCACTTTCACCTCTGTTTTAATAGGAAAAAGATAAATATATCTTGGATATGGAAGTATGAAACTGATTTTAAGCATTTGATGATAACTATTTTGTAGTGTAATAGGCAATTTTCCCAAATTTATTTGTTAGATGTATATGTGTGTGTACGTGTAAATACGTAAAAATAATCAGATATCTGTTCACTTGTTGTTGTTGTTTTACTCGTGTCTTCCCATTGCTATTGAGGACTGCGATTGATTATGTTGGCATGTTGGTATATGTGCATCCAGTGCGGATTGCCTCGATATAGCCTTAAGTCATAGGCTTTTTAAGCAAAGATGGGTAGTGGCTAGCAGTGTACCTGCAGGTATATCCAGCTGACGAATACCAAATAGGGCAAAACGCGCGTCCTGAACTCCACTGCTAGCCACTACCCATCATTACTTATAATCACATTACTGTTGGCCAAAATGAATTCGCTCTATTATTTTGAAAAAATTATGAAATTATGACTTGAAATAGTTTAGATTCTCAATTTAGAGACTGACTTGATCATTTTCTTTTAGTTGGATATCAACCATTATTGTTCACGCTGCAGTACACTTACACAACTATATATGCTATATTGATTAGATTGACTTTTAATAATCATTCCAAGTTTGAAGTCACCAAGTTATAGAGGATCGTGTTATGCAATATAGTGATTTGAGTAGAAAGTGGTTCAAGCGTTAATGTTTGGAAGTCCTACGTTCTATCATATGTTGGGTTGTGGATTCACATTACTTAAGTTTTATCTTTTGGAAATGCGAAATCCTCAAATACAATTATCATCATCTTCAAGAACATATAGTTTATCTATACTTCATTTATATCTATCTTCGCTTAACTAACAATATTTATAAATAGTGTTGTTCACAAATTTGGCTAAGCTTTATTTACTGTCATTCAGGTCATAACTAACCACCTCTACGATTAAGATACTTATAAATGATCTATTACTGTTTAGTAATTAGTGTCATTTCTGTCTAGTCTCCTTTAAAGATGAACATTCTATCGATAGATATTTCTAACGGCAGAATTGGGTGTAAGCCTCCTGTTTCTTACAGAATTAAATGTACACATTATCATTGATTATCACACGGTGAAAAATCATGCATTCTACTATAATTCCTTTTAACTATCTAACATTATAGTTCCACAACTAATCCAGTAAAGTTATCAATAAATAGAACAAAATTTCCTTTTAAATACATATATCAGAATGGGTTTTGTGGAGATTGTAGTAATTTCAACAGTTGAGATCATGAGTCAATTGAAGCTTGTTAGTTAAGCGCCTGGCGCGAGACTGATAGGTGCTGGATTCAAATCCCGCGAGGCGGGGTCGTGGATGCGCACTACTGAGAAGTCCCACAATAGGACCTAACGGCCACCCAGTGCTTCCAGGTTTTCCATGGTGGTCTAGCTTCAATTGACTCATGATCTCAACTGTTGACATACATATATATGTTATAACAAATAAATTTTGTGTATGGTTCAAATATATTAAAAACAAGAAACTTACGTAATCAGAATGGATTGATTTTCACGATCTGTTGAAAATGAATTAAAATAAATCAAGAAGAAATACAATTATTGTTTTTCTTTCAAAAGAAAACAAAAAAAAATTGAATAAGCAATGATGGATAGTGGCTAGCAGTGGAATCCAGTTTGACGCGCGTTTCGTCCTATTTTGGGACTCGTCAGCTGAATGTACCTGCATCTCAGAGTTGATATTCACTCTGAGACTTGAATTAGTTGTCAAAATGAAGTAAATTATATGAAAACACTTTTATTTAAATAAGATTAACATTTATAATGATGAATAAACTAGAAAAAGAATAAATGAATAGTAACTAACCTTGTAACATATTATGATAAGCATTATCAGAAATTGAAAAAATATGTGGTGGCATTTCACCACGTCTTTTTCCTTTATATTTTAATGCAACTTGTTCCGTATAAATTGGAAAACGTTTATAAGGATTAACTGCTACACAAAATAATCCTGAATAAGTCTAAAACAAAGAATGAAATAGTTAAAGTTCAGTAAATAGGTTTTGACTAGTAAAATGTAAGAAAAAAAAGATGACAATAAATTTGTTTTAACGACTTTTAATCACTTAAAACTGTTATATCCTGATGAGAATAATGAATGGTAACTGTCGAAAACTATTTCTAGACTAATACTATACGTACATATTCTTATGGTATAATGTGGTGTGCGCTACTTATATTGACATAAGTAGTATATGATGTTAGTTGTGAACAGAAAGTCTGGCAGCAAAGAGACAAGAGGATCGAACAGTAAAGAATGGAAACAGAATGCAATTAGTATGAAAATACGAGAACAATGAAGTCTGAGTCATTTTGAGACAATTGGTGGACATTTTGCAAATTAAGCATTTATATTATGATTGTTAGGTTTATTAACATGTCCTGTAATTTTCTGTTTAATACATCCGATTGTTCTCCACTGGTGTTCGTGTTCACTACAATAATGGTTAAGTAATTAAACTGATCATATTTGTGTCGCTTTTATCATAAGCTTTATATTGATCTATGAATTATTATTATACGATTTACCATTCTTGAGGTATGCCCTGTCTATTCATTACTACCTCCCACATTCACAGTTACATTTGGCTAATTCTTGTACAAATGTTATTTTTTATTTTATGGTATGATGTGGTCTGTCTAGTTGGTATATAAACTCAGTATGTTTGAAATAAATGATTCATATTTCAGAGGCTGAGATTGGTGTTCTGGACTTAACTGTCTGGGCTAGGCAGGAAGTGGGATCGATAATATCTCTAGACTGCTCATATGGGTTTTATGCCTGATTGGACTGGTTGATAAGTTACCGTTTTCTAACTGGTGGTATCATCACGTTATACATTAATAGGACACATATTACAACAAAAACAATATAAATGACACATTTACCTATTTGAACACATAGATAATGGTACAAAGGGGCATCGAATACATATGCACCATACAAGTCACTTGATTTGTGTAGACAAACCCCTGCCACAAGAGGGCAGTGAGTAGGACTTCCCTGGCAGTGGCTGTATACGCCTGGCCATGTGACAGCATTTCTATAGGAAGAGTGCACTCTCCCCACCCAGGGCATTTAGGATACGGATTACTAAATTACATACATTTGAAAGTACATTATTTGTAAAGACGTAGTTGAAATCTGTTATGTCTTGACAAGATAATGATGGTAACCTTTGGGATCCATTTATGGACCAATACTAAATGTGTATTTTTATCGTATAATTGTTAAATAACTAAGCTATTCATATTCATATTCCTCTTATTATAAGAGTTATTTTCACCCATAAACTACTATTATACGTTTTACCATTCTTTAATTATACCCAGTATATTGATTACTACCTCCCTCATTCATAGACACATCTGGCTAATTCTTGTACAAATCTTGTTTCCTATTTTATTGGTACGTTGTGTTCTGTTTGATTGGTATATAAAATCAGTGTGTTTGAAATATAATGATTCATATCGCAGAAGCTCGGATGGATGTTCTGGACATAACTTGCTAGGCTAGGCGGAAAGCAGGACCAATCAAGACTCTAGTCTGCTCATACAGATTTACGCGACATTGATCCGACTGATAAGTCACTACCCTCTAATCGGCGGTAACAACTTATAACAAAATCAAATGAAAACACTTTTTTTCGCGACAATCACCTCACAAATTATGTAAGAAATATATACTCCGTAAAATCTAGTCGTTTATAGGAATTTACTTCCCTGGTAACAACGACGAAACTCTTCATGAATATCAAATATATATATATGACTTCTTTCGATAATATATACCAGTATTTTATAACCTAATAAATTACTAAAGCTTATATGTTACACTCATTGTTAGGCTTGAAATTAGTTTACATTTATAAAAATTATTAACCAATAACAATCGGATGAAACTTACATAGATCAATTGTCTATAATAACGTGCACGTAAATTCTCCAAAACAGAAGCATCATTCAAATGTGTCAAATTAGCCATATCTTCAATTAAAAAGAATTTCGGTGGATTAACTTGTTGTGCATCATCTTTTTTAACTTTCTTTTCCTGTTCAAATAAAAGATGAATAACGTTAATGAAATAATTTAATAACCATAGTAACAGCAAGAAAGCAATTTGCTTTAATATCTGGGTTACCTGTTCTTATCATCTGGATATTTCAATAGGTTAGTTGTTTTCTTGTTTGTCTTAATAGATCATTATGACTGTTGGTTTCATAATCTATTACGGTGCATTTATGAAATGTTTACAACCTTCCATTGTACCAGTTGCAAAATAAAAGCGAAAACACAGATATCGTGGTTGCTGACAATATGCATCGAAAAAAATATACATTCCTGAACTGTTAACATCTAATTGGCGACCACTCAATATTTATCGTCAGAATCGATCAAGAAATAAGAAATGGAAACTTGTTGAAATACTTTGTACATAAAAAACAAATGTGATTACCACTCTGGATAGTAAATTAGTACTACCAGGGTAGGTTAAGTGTAAGGACAAATTGTTTTTGAACACATAAAGGAGGTTTCAATTTCCGTATAGCCAAGGCTTCAATAAACCTTAGTATACGTCCTTGAAGGCTTTTGTTCAACACTACAAATACTAATTTGATATCAAACTCATGACCAGTCTTAATCGAATATTTCGCGATGGATGATGATGTCTGTCTATTCTGTGATTTTATTTGACCATTGGAATTCATCTGATTCTGAAACCATTTTGTGCTGAGAATTCTATATTGTACCAAAAATATAACACTGAATAAAGTCACTAGTAATACTAGCAATATATAATTATTGGCTAATGATAATTCAATTACCAATATGCCACTAACTGATGTTTAACTAAAGTATGTGATTAACTAATCGATAATGACAAACTACAAACTACTTCCATATCAAGTTAAGTATGTCAAACTAACAAAACTCCGTTTAAATTCTAGTTGGCAATATTCACTACTATATAATTGTAAGTAGTAAAGTGCTATACTAGTACATGATCAAATAAGCTGTTGATATGTATTCGTACAACTGAGATAGTTCACTCGTTTGACTAACCTCATTAACCTCATCATATACTCATACATTCGATCAACACCAGCTTATTACTAGAAGTATAGTTTACTTATAATGAAGTGTATATAATAAGTCGTTAATTAATATAAATAAAATTTTAAAAAATTGTTTCTATACTTACGCTTCCATCTTTAAGTGCTACTGTAATTGTATCACCAGTTGTATCTTTAATATCAGCTAATACATAACCTTCTTTTTCATCTTCAACCCATATCACATTTTTGCTATCAAAATTAGCCAATTCTTTTAATAAAGCTTTTCGATCTACACCCAAATATTTGAAATCTGGATCTGATGGATCCATTATTTATTCACTGTATATTATCTATTAAATAGAATAGAAAATAGTGAAATAAACGAATATTATCAGAAGAGATTTTATGGATATGATAGTAAATTTTAATAAATGAGATCATGAATCGTGGATGAGCACTGTTGAGGAGTCCCATAATAGGACGAAACGGCCGTTTAGTGCTTACAGGTTTCCTATGCTGGTCTAGCTTCAATTGACTCATGATCTCATCTATTAAAACAACTATTACTTTATACTTTATAAGTAGTATTCTATTCCTAGAATAATTTCAATGAATTCAATGAAACTTACTTGTATATATTCAATTAATTATGTATAAATTTCCTCTTGAATAATATAGATATGACGAAAATAAAAAGCGGTAGTTTATTAGTGTTAACAAAGTACGAATAAATATGATGAAACGACAATAATATGTCAGCGTATAATTCAGGCAATTGTATTATTATTATTATATATATAGATGGGAATTTTAGCATAAATCCTATTGGTTAAAATTCAGCACAGACTATTATTGATTTAAATCAACCAATCACAAATAAGATGCACCTTATAATAAATCAATAATGTTTAGTAGGGAAATATAGCTAGTTCATATATTTTTAGGTAAGGTCCATATATTTAAACAAAATAATAGGTACTAATATATGAATTCAAGGAAAAGCAGGACGAAAGGCAGGTTATATATGGTATATAAAGGTTTACTTTTGTTATTAATTAACCGCCCACTTATTTTCCCATCAGCCTTATAGCTGATTGAAACTAGCAGTAATAAATTAGTTAGGTTAAATGTATTCATTAGGATACATGCACAACAATTATACGAATTATATGGATATGAGTTGTGTTTCATTTTTGTTACATACCATAAGGTTCATGTAAATACCTCATAATTTGCATTGTGTATATTGATTCAATAACAACAATGTGAACATTGGTTGAATATAGTGTTATATCTATGGTCTCGAATGGTATTTAAGCTTCCTTGATTATTAAAATGTACATTACTTATAGACAATTAATCTATGGTATTCTATTCGAATAAGACTTTCCTATTCTATTCGACTAACAAGACGATTAGCTAGATATTTTTATCATTCATTAAGGTTGATTAACCGTATATAAGTAGTAAGAAAAAATAGATAAAGAATTCAGTTCATTGATACGCTATTATCAACAGTGACTTGTCTTCCTTTCATACTATAAATGAATTCACAACAAATAAAATTGAAGTTATCTTCTATAACCTATATGAGATTGAGATCATAAACCGATTGATTTTAAACTACCACTGAAAACCTGGAAACACTGGATGGGTATTTCGTCCTATTGTGGGACTCCTCAGCAATGCGCATCCACGATTCTGCTCGTGAGAGAATTCTCGGAGTTCTAGTGAGAAGCCGTGACCAGTGGAGCTAATGCGTATCGGGTAGAGACAAGTATCTACTTCGCTACAATGGAAGATGGTCACACAATTTCGTGGATTAGTTGGGGTTGAACATTAACATCACTGAATGCCGGCCCAGTATTATATACATATATAGGTAACCGATATATTTTACGAATGGAAATTCAAAACAAAAAACGAGAAACTTTCTATAAACATTACTAATTCGTTTTAAATGGATCATGAAATACACTGCAAATGTTGCTATGATAAATACAATTTAAAACAAAGTAACAATCCTTACATAAATGTAGTTTTTTATCAATAAATTGACGGCATTAAAGGGTTGCAAGATTTGCGGGAGTTTGAATGTAAATGGTAATGAATAGCCAAAGAGAAGAACTATGAGTTAAATACGATAGTAATACATCTTAGGATTAACTAATTCTTATTCCTAATAAATGAGATATAGTTATAGCTACTTAGTTCTTTATACTCTAATTGCACAGAGTTATTATTGAGGATGTTTACTTTCTTTTGTTTTATTTTCTTTGGCTTCCTACCAATACTTATTGTAATCTGTCGAACATCTTGTAACTTTTAGTATCGGGTGTATTTCCTACTAACTTGTAAATAGAATATACAATCAAGGCAATCTACTAGGCTATGTATGAATGCCCTGGTGATTAATTAGTAAAGTGCTTAAATCATCCATCACGTAATTCTTATCAGACAAAGAATAATGTTTTTCACATGGTTTTATCAAATAACGACGTCAATAAAAAGTAAGGAAAACAAAAAAATGAACTCATTTATTGTAATATTTATTTATTTGTTTATTTGAACACATAGATATTGGTACAAGAGGGCACCAGATACATATGCGCCACACAAATCAAATGAGATTTGTGTGAGGGCTGTGATACTGCCTGGGTGCCCAAACTGCAGTAGGTGGTTTTCTTAGGGGGTCACATCCGGAGCCTTCGACCTAAAGATCTAACCCACAAGGCAGTTGAGCATCACAAGGAGATGCAGTCCCATGGTAGCTGGTGACTAACAATTGGTTCATACAACATTTGTTCACTCAGGATACTGGAGCCCATGTGCACCATTGGTCTGCGATCAGGGTTTTACAACACACCTAGATGGACTCTCCGTGTCCACAAACCCGGTTAGAGCGCCGGATTTTCGCTTTTCGTCCTCTCAATTTCGTAACCAACACCCCCGCCAGGAGAAGGCAGTGAGTAGGACTTCCCTGGCAGAGGCTATATACGCGTGACCATGTGAGAGTGTTTCGAGAAGAAGAGCGGACTCTCCCCACTCTCGACCGTACCAGGGCATTTGGGGCCACTTATTGTAAAACTTCAAAGTAACATAAGATTGATAATTTTTCTCGTTACTTATTTTTCTCTTGTTATGCGTTTTTTTTACATTGTCTTTCTCCCTCCCTTTTCTTTTCATGATTTACTGATTACTTATTTGTAAAAATACATAAACTTTACACAACTAGGGACACAATACAATTGTCCAGAAATTTGTACACTAATCAATATTTTTTATGTGGAATAAATCTCAAGAAGTCACTATGTATTAAGTGGTACTGATGTCGACAAGTATAAATAGTATTTATCAATAATCAAAAGTGGAATGCCTGGTAGCAGAAGGCTAGGAAGATCGAGTTGAAGAAAACAGAAGGGGAAATACAAAGGAATTGTGAATAGAAAGAATAATACTGAATGTGAAGGACAAATGATGGAAATTTGCAAATGAAGTATTTAGTGTATGGTTCTTAAGGGTTTTACTTCATTGTAATCCCTCTTTGATTGGTGGTTCATTGACACAACACGGTTATTCTTAATGTTTTCCAGTGATATTATGTGGCCGTTGAAAGCTGCGGCCCACATAGCTTTTCTGTTGGGCCATGACCAACTCAGATACCGCCCCAATCCACGAGAAATGATTCTAAAATATTTGCAAACGTGAAAGACGCATACGATTATGTTGACTTGTCAATTAGTGTTTAGGACCGCGGCGATCTCAGCCTACTCACTATCCATGACGAACATCTCTGTCCTATACGTGCCACCCATCATTTCAGTAAACCGACTTAATATCCGGATCTCATAGACTCTCCTTTCTATTTGTATCTATGTAAATAAAATAGGACGACTGCGACCGAAGTTATCAGTTATCACTAACCGAAACAACGAATACCTACAAAGTAAAAGTTATCAAAAAGCATACTCACTTCTTGCTGTTGGTATTGTAAGTAAACTCTATACCAAAAACTTCTGGATGTTGTTTACAGAATGCGCTCTAATTGTAGCTCCTAAAACAGATTCAAGTTCCCTGTTCGACTTCGGAAGAAAATTCTCTTAGTTCACCTCATTGTCTTAGGAAACTAAAAACTTACAATAGAGTACCTCAGCCTGGAAACATAAGAGTACATACTTACCTGTAGACAATTTTGCTTTCATTTTCTTGACTTCATGGTTAGTCGGTTCTTTAACACATTCCACCAGTTGGTCGAAAGATGGTGGTTGGACTAGTACTGGCATCAAATTTTCCTCATGCTCTGAAGTCAATCAGCCGGTCTATAGATCGCAGATCGTCCATGAATTTTCACAAGGATGATTATGTATCATTCGGCATAACTTTATCACGTACTAATACAGTTGTAGTACTATACGGAACATTGACTAGCAATTCAGAAATGTCACTTTAGATTTGCAGTCCTCAAAGTTTATTAATTATTCCTAAACCTTGTGGTTTACGTTTTCGGCAGAAAATACACTTGAAAACAACAAATGTATACTTAAACCTAGTGTCACTTAATGAACAATTTCCTATATTTAAGAATATGTTTCTCCTACTTGCTAGAATTTATTCAACGCTGTTTTGAACTCTACCCAACCAATCAAGCGTCTGCTCATAGTGATACGCCTAGACACATCAGCCAGGTCGACAGGTGTATTTCTCGAACAAGAAGCACGACAAATGGGACTGCAATAGTAGTAAACTCTATTAACTGCAATGCAGAAGGTACTATTAACACCGATGGAAGGCGATAAAAGTTTCAAACTCATTGATTGTCAGTCATCTCTTTAACTGAAAAGGACTATATGTTGCTCATGATATTAATCTATAGAATCGTATGTGACCATTTTCAATCATATTATTTACTCACCCTGCTGCAATAGACTCTCCAACAAAATTGTTCATTCGATGCTTTTCAGAAAACGTTACACAGCAGCAACCAACTTGAGTTTTACACTAAATAACGACAAAGGATGTAGTTAATGTTGTTGACAACGAATTTGGTGGTTTTATAGATGTCAACATTCTACGTACATATACAAACACTTAAAATCCATGGTAGCCTACATTCACGCAGTCAACCTTAAGCACTTCAAATACGGAATACTCTCTGTCATTTAGACCATCTGCAGTCCATTACTTTTCTTCCGTGTCCCAAATCTTTGTTTTAAGTCATTCATTTTAACCTATTTCGATTGTCAAATAGATTTACATTTATCGTTTTCGTATTCTTATTTGTATAGTGTAACTCACAGGTTCAAACGGTCAACACCAGTTATCTAGTTTTGCACCAATTATCGACATATATTGTATGGTGTTCCTATTTATGTTGTGAAATTTGAAATGATTTCTAGTATCAGCTATCATAGCAGTTACTTGAAGTTACAACAATTCGAATCCTACGGGGCGGGGTCGTGGATGCACACTGCTGAGGAGTCCCATACTAGGACGAAACGGCCGTCCAGTGCTTCCAGGTTTTCCATGGTGGTCTAGCTTCAATTGACTCATCTAAACTAGTGAAATTATATTTTTTTATTCCTAATTTCTTTTTGTTAGAAACATACTGTTTATACTCAATCTTCAATCCTATTACCCTGGTTACTATTATTCACATAAACTACTCTGACATTTGTTCGGATATTTTCATATCCTTTCGTTGATATAATGTGATCATTTGAATCGATAAATATATGTATACTGTATAGACAATGATACCCCCCATGCCAT